AGAGTTAAGAGACATTAATCTGTTCCATACTGGAGGCTAGTATCCCTCATAATCTTATGATAGTATGTAGTGTGAGTAACAGATCCATCCTTTAAATATAAACATGTAGTACTGAGCAGAATGAGCATTATTTCCTGAACACACAAATTCTAGGTCTGGAAGAGGCCCTGGAATAAAAGAACTGGTTTCATAAAAAGCTGTAGAAATATTCACTGTTTATAACATAATGTTAGGCATAACTCCAGTGCGTGTTTGCACCTCAAGTAACTATGCTGTTCTAGTAGAACTGGGACTATTTTGTCACTGATCTAAAACATAAAAGCCCATTCTATCAATCTGACATACGCTGTTAAGTTTTTTTGAGGTGAAAATCTGTTTCATATTAGAAGCTTGTCTCCTTTAACTTTCTCTTTTTTCTTATCAGATGAAATACTTGCTGTATAGAACAGTTAAAATGATTCATACCATATGATAGTCTACAAAAATGAGTCTCTTTTCTATTGTCTGTTAAATTTGCTATCTCATGTCTTTGGAGGAATCATTGTGTAAAATTTTATAATAAGCTGGCATATCCTAGATGTGCCAGGGATCAGATACATATTCCCCAAGATAAATAAAGAATTGGAAAAGAGGTAAGAGGATGTCTATGGCAGGAGAGGTTCGAGATACGCGAAGTATGCAAGGGTGTCATTTTTCAGACATTTTGTTGACTTACCCAATGCACATTGATCAACATAACTGTTGACATGAAAACTACAAATCTTATGTTGGCAAATTGTTGTATGAGCAAACTCATCTCGCCAGTATTCTGAGTTTGTCCTTAATAAAGGAAAGACATATTTTTAAAAATGAAGTGTTAGAAATTGGGCATTAGATTCACCATTAAAGTATTTATTCCAGTAGCAGAACAGAGTAACAAATTGGCATCACGTCCGGGAGTGAGGTTATTTATTAATTTAAATGTTCCAGGACATCGTAATAAAGCAGATAGGACTATAAAATATATGTATCTATAAACTGTTTCAAATTTATAATATTTCAGACATCTCCTTCAGGCCAAATCATAATTTTTAAAAAAACTCATGGGATTTCCTGAATATATATTGGAGCAGTAGATAAAAAGGATCAAAGAAACTTAAGACACAAAATAATTACACAACACTTGTATTTCTTTGTTATTTTATGTTCAAGTATCAATCCCTATGTCCAAACACATGTTGAGTTATTGTAATGCTCTAAGCTTAGTCCAAAAAAATCCTTGTTTGCAAATTTATTACTCTTATACTGGTTCAAGACATGTCCACAATAAAGCCCAGAATTTCAGATACAGTCACAAATAGTCATTTGTCTGGTGTTTTATTGCCATTAGTGTGAGCGATCACATTTTACTCATTCATATTGGAGCCTGCTCGGTATTTTCTGTTTCTTTGGATGTCCTTTTATGCCATCTCTAGAAATTATATGTAAAATTGAAAATCTTCCATGATAGTATGTTGCATCTAATGAGTATTAGTGCTAATTAGAGAGTTAATTTTTATACTATTTTTGATGTGAGGTCAGCTCTTTGCTTGGGCCCTAATCTTTACACTCATTTAGGTCTTCTATGCAAAATTTTATGCACGTTGATTAGATTGGAAGTACATTTGAGTGAATGAAGACATGAGCAAAATGGTGCCACAACTAAGCATATGATTAGGAATATGTCCTGCAACAAACCCCCTCATGTTTTATTCACAGTATAGTAGACACTGTCATTTTAGGAGGCTCCATTTCCAGTGAATGTGTTACCATAAAGAACAAGTCTACTACAGTCAAGAGGCTCGGCATCTCCAAAGCCATTAAAGACACGGACCTGATTTTTTTTTTCCCTCTGGAGATGGGAAACAGGGGCAGGCTAACAGTCGCCCTTTGCAATTTTGATAACCCTCACCCCCTCAATTGACATGGAGATAGATTCTCCATTCTATGTTCAAACAAGGGTGATGGGCAAGATCTCCAAGTCAGACGGTCAGTCAGCATCTCCTCAGGGTAACGTCCTATGCCCAACTATCTTCAGCTGTTTCATCAATGGCCTTCAATCCATTACAAATACAGAGATCGGCAAATGGACAATATCCATATCTGGGCTAAAAAATGACAAATACAATTCTTGCTCGGCAATGACCATCTCTAACAAAAGAGAATCTAACCATTGCCCCATGACATTCAATGGTATTATACTGGTTGAATCTCCCACTGCAGGCATCCTGGGAGTTACTATTGTTCAAAAGTTGAATTGGTCTAGCCATGTAAATACAGTGACTACAAGATCAAGTCAGGAGCTAGGTAACCTTTAGGAAGTAACTCCCCTCCTGACTCCCAGAGCCTGTTCACTGTGTACTGGGAATGTGATGACATTCTCCCCACTTGCCTGGATGAGTGCAGCTCCAACAACACTCAAGAAGTCTGATATCATCTAGGACAAAGCAGACCACTTGATTAGCCCCTCATCCACAAATATTTACTCCCTTCATCACTGACATACAGTAGCAACAGTAATGTACCATCTACAGGATGCACTGCATAAATTCACCAAGACACCCTGGACAACACCTTCCAAACTCACATCCACCACCTTCAAGAATGACAAGGCCAGCAGATACATGGTAACACCGCCACGTGCAAATTCCTCTCCAAGCCATTCACCATCCTGACTTCGAAATATATCACCAGTCCTTAGGGTGCTGGGGCAAAATCCTGGAATTCCCTCTCCACCATCATTGTAGGTAAATAGACTGCAGAAGTTCAAGGTGGCAGCATATTACCAGCTTCTCAAAGGCAGTTGATGAAGGACAATAAATTCTGGCTAGAATAGAAATGCCCACATTCCACGAATCAATTAAAAAAAAAAGTGTGTTCGCTTCCTGTAATAAACACAAAGACCTGCAGATGCTAGAAACCTTTACACGAGAGTGCTGGAGGAACACAGTGACTGGCAGCATCTGTTTAGATGTCAGAACATCACTGGACTCAAAATGTTAACTTTGTTTTTCTCTGAACAAATGCTGCCAGACGTGCTGTGTTTCTCCAGCATTCTGTGTTTTCTTCCTGCTCTGATAGTTACGGCTGGTGTTCCCATGGATCTATCCTTGGCCTCCTGCTATTTTGTTTCTACGTTGTCCCACAACAGTCTGAAAGCACACTATTAGTCTCCCATATTGTCTCTCAACACTCAGTTCTACCTCACCATGCCTCTCAAATCCAATACAGTTGCTAATTTCAAACTGCTTATCAGACATTCAGCCCTGGATGAGCCTAAATTCCGTCCAATCTTAATATTGCTTAAATATTGTTAATGGTCCCCACTCAACACTGCACTTCTTAGCTCCGTCCCTCTCTGTCTAAGATTAAATTTCTCTGTTCACAAACTTAATGCTGTATTTGATCCTGAGTTGAGCATGCATCTTCATGCCTTCACTAAGACAACCTATTTTTACCACTGCAGCATCACCTGACTCCCAACACTTTCTCAGTTTATCTGCAGATGAATCCCCCATTCGTTACCTCTGACTATTCCAATGCACAGTTGACTGACCTTCTGCTCTCTGTAAACTTGAAGTCATCCAAAACTTTGCTGTCAATGTCTTAAATCATGCCTGTATTTTCACCCATCTCCCCATGTTATTAACCAACACCAGCAGCTGATCAAACAAAGCCTTGGTTTCGGAATTTTCATTCTTGTTTTCAAATCCTTTCATGAGCCTTTCCTCACCTGAGACTGTAATCTCTTCCAGTCACTGTTACTTTATTTTTACTCTAAATTGTGATTTCTCATCCCTTATAATCTCCAAAATTGAGTATCTTACACTACTTCTTCCTCGTTATAATTTCCTTCACATCTGAAATATTCTCACTCATCTAACTCTAAATTCATGAGCATTCCTGATTTTATTCACTCTACCATTGGTGACTGTGCTTGCAGTTGCTTAGGTCCCAAGCTCTGAAATTCAGTCCCCACACCTCTGTTCCTTGCTTTCCTTCTGTAATGCTCTACAAAACCTAACTCTTCAACAATGTTTTTGGTTATCTGTCCTAACATTAACTGATGTAGCTTAGCATCATACTTTGCTTAAAAAGCACGTAGCTGCCCTTGTTCATGAAGCCTTGAAAATTGACATGTAGTTGCAGCAAGCAATTAGGAACCACATGGTATGTTGGCCTTTATTGCAAGAGGATTTAAACAACAGGTAAAGGGGGCTTGCTGCAATTGCATATGTCTTATTGAGTCCACAGCTGGAGTACTGTGTATAGTTTTGGTCTCCTGAGTTATGGTAGGGTACATTTGTCATAGAAAGTGTCCAATAGAAGTTCTTCAGGTTAATTCCTAGAATGGCAGTATTGTTCTTTGAGGAGACAGGACATGTAAGATTCTTGAAGAATCAAAGTTGATCTCAGTGAAACATGCAAGATTCTTATAGGGTTCAACAGGCTAGATGGCCAGGCTAGATGGTAGAAGGATATCTCCTCCAGCTGAGAGTGAAGTACCTAAGGGTTCACAATCACAACATAAGGGATAGGCCATTTAGACTGTGGTGAGGAAGAATCTTAGAATGCCCTGCCCATAGGGCCATGGAAGCTCAGTCATTTAGCATATTCAGTGTAGAGACTTGAAGATTTCTAGACCTTAAAGATATCAAGAGAGAGTGCAGGAAATAGCGATGAGGTCAAAGATGAGCCATCATCTAGTTGAAAGGTGGCCTACTCCTGATTCAATTTCCCATGATCCTAGCAATCCCACACACCTGAAGGGAGGGTTACAGTATATTAGGAAGATCACTCTACCACAACATATTTTACGTGAAATATTCATTTTACTGAAATTATTTATTTGATATATTTGACAAACTGATATTTCATATCAAATTTCTCAATTTTATCGGTAATGTGAAGTTATTTAAAGATGTCATTGTTCTCGACTGCTTACTTCCTAGGTGCCTGATGTTCCTTTTCTTTCCTTTCAGCACAACAGTCATGCCATCCAATATCAGAATTATCAACGGTTACATCACAGTGGAACCTGCGCACGAACCTTCACATCAAAAGGAGCAACGTCCCACTCTCAACACTGCCTCAATGGCCACAGCCCCATCAGCAACTGTGCTCTTTGGTGGGGTAGTCTGTTTAATCTGGAGTCTGCTGTGGCCTTCCTGACCCTCTGCACACGCAACCTTAACCCACACCATTAAGAGAAAAAAAACCTTAAAAGAATTTCTGGTGTTAGCTGATGGAGCTTTTTGTCATTAAATATAGGAAGTGCCTGTACCTTCAGCTTGGTGGACCCCACAAGACTTGGTTGCATCAGAACTGTCATGTTCTTTGTGATGATGCAGAAGAAACTAAAATGAGACTCAGAAGCTCAAACAGCCATATGGTGACAGCATCTTCTTTTTGTAGAAGGATATTTTCCCATGATGCTATGGGACATTGTAAATTTACTTCTGAAAGTCTATATGTTCAAATAATGTATATTTATTCCCCATCAAAAGTTAATGTTTTTGTTACATATATGACTCCAAAACAAAAGTCCAGAGCTCTAAAAAGTTACAATTTAATCTGTTCAAGCAAGGTCCATTTTATCCCAAATGTCAACTATTTATTTGTTGAGAAATGTATTAGCTGAAGATTCCTTCTGAGTCCCACTTTAAAGCCTTTAACGATTCAGTTAATGTTCAGTTTATCCTGTAGATCTGAAGATAACTGAAAGATGTCTGTCCTGTTCACTCTTCTTAAAGCAGTGATTCATAAAGAAGGTTAGGATGTTTTCCTGCAGAACCGTGGTTAGTAAGTCTCACATCTGAACCTTATAAACCAGCATGTCCCACATCTGAAAGATGACCTGTACTCTTATTGAGCTAACAAAGCTGATATTACAGAAGCATCTGCCTCATCCAGTCTATTAAAGATTAAAATCACTATATCTAGGCACCCACATTATACATTGTTTCATGCCTCTGTAACCATAGTGATTAAAAAAGTTATTTCATATTTGCTCAGTTAAACCTACATTGTATCCTCGATTATACATAGTAGCACAGATAAACCTGGAGCTTCTAGCTCAGAGACACAAGTACCCACAAGGACTTGTTAGCCATGGGAGGAGCCTTCATGATGCAGTTTGAAAGTTTGATCAGTCTGTGAATCTTTCCACTACTTCCCCACTATTGTTCAAAGGGAAGAGATGTTTGCATGAAGATAGGAGAAGGAAACACATGGAAGCAAGTTTGGATTCATCACAGTATAGTTGAAAAAGAACTTATTTTCTATATAGCAGTTTTGATGGCCTTGAGATATCTGAATATTCTTCACAGTCAATGAATTACACATCAAATGTAATCACTATTGTTATCCAGGAAATCACATCAGCCAAACTGCAGCTGGCAGAGGTTCACAAATATCACTGAATTAATCTGTTTTGATGTTGTTGCTTGAATGATCAATGCATCCAGAACACCATAAAGACTCCCAAGTTCTTTACATAATATCTTCTATACCAATAGGAGCAGTCAGATGGGGCCTTTAATATGCCATCAAAAAGATTACACCTCACAATACTGTATTTCCTCAATATTTTATACTTCAGAATTACATTGAAGCATCAGCCCATACGACATGCTCAAGTCTACAGTGAGACTTGAACCTTTGAGTGCCTCACTCAAGAATGCTATCTACCACTAAGCAAAGGTAAAACTCATATAATCCAGCGGCTCTGACAATTTCAAGGATACATGCATTGGCTGGTGTGATACAAAGCTGTGCAGAATAATATGGTCCCAGGTATGACGTCTGAGCTGATCTTGGCTGAGACTGCAATAATAGCATAAATGGCTTCAACACCAGGAGGTGGAGATATTAAAAATGAGTGGTGTTGCTGATGGCTACCCTTGAAACCTGCTGGAGAGTTCTTATGTACTACTCGGTGCTGATGTTTGTTGTTTGTTTAAACTGATAGTTGAAATGTAGGCTTTTGAGTGAGGTACTGGAAAGTATCTGGCTCCTTTGGGAATGTACCATGATCAATTCAGGATTTTTAGCAGAAATGGAGAGAATATATAATCTGATACTTAAAGCAAAAGGCCCTGTGATTGCTGAGAGTCCACCCCAGTATCGCTTGTAGTGCTTGGTTCCTCCACCACACCAAGACCCAGACCAGAAATGTTCCCTGCAACACCAGAGGTGGGATCATCTGCCAGTTCTGGGTTGGTTAGCAACCACAGCCTGATCTGTTCTTGCTAAGTAAACCTATTCCACCTGAGGCCACCTGTGTGGGGTTTAGGGTGTCTTCCTGAATGTTTGTTTCCAATCCTGCCCTTACAGAATTGATCTTTTATTTCCAGGTAGATATTTGGGTTTTGTAAAAGTAACAAGAGTTCTATTGAATCCGTACAGTGTTATTAATAACTCAATTTCATGTCGGATTTCAACCATTAACTCTGTTTCTCTGTCCACAGATGCTGCAGTCCTCAGAACTGCTGAGTTTTTATTGGATTTTCCCTGTTTGTTTCAAATTTCCAACATTTGCAATAATTTGCTTTTAAACAATTCCCACAGTAGCCTGGAACTCTCCTCCAGCAAATACCTCAATTCACATGAGAGTTTGGGATAGAGGAGAAAGTGGTGGAAAACATAAAATTTTTCTGCTAATGAAATTTAAACAATATAACCAGCCAGCAGATATTATGCACCGAAGAATTGCTTTTGCAACTTAAGGTATATTTACATCACTCAGTTTCATCACTATGAAATCATATCTGTTTCAGACTGTTGGAATAGACTGAACATTTAGCACATTCCACCAGTCTTTACAGTTTTAAAAACATCTCCAGAATTCATAAGTTGTTCTCTTTCTTCTTCATGTGGCACGTTTTTTATAGGCATTTTTTTTCAGTTGACAAGCACATCTGATAACGACCACTTTGAAGTCCATTGCTAATGCTCAAAGTTCATCATTACTTTCAGTAATCATGGGAGTGTTTAAAGGAGATCATTTCATGAATTGATTTAGAACTGAATTTTCATTTTCTGTCAAAGCCATGTTCCATTTCACTGTCATGTTAGATCATAAAAATATTTTGTGTAGAAAGTGCGTCATTCGTTTTCAGTGATGGCAGATTAACTGCCAAGATCCAGGGAAACTCTCTGTGATGAGCAAAAGTTCATCAAATAGAGCTGAAAATGGCTATTTCCTCAAAAGCTTGGCTCCCATCTAAACAAAATTTGGAACAAGGGCTACTGCTATTGCTGAAATGCTGCTACTGTAGATGTTGAATTGCTAAGAGACAGTTTCCCAAAGGCAGTAATTAGTCTGTCATATGGGATTAGTAGGTCACTGTTAGAGATGTCCCAATAAAGATTATTGCCTGACTGTACTTAGCTATTTGGACTGAAATTAGCAATGACGTTCTTTGCTCATCTATGCAGATCACCTGACTGTTCGCACTGGTGTATGTGACTGCTGCATTCATATGGACACCATCCATTCTACCCATATTTAGTTTTCCTTTCTGCTGTGTCACATTGTGTCCTTCATCATTCAGTACCTTGCTTTTCACATTTTAGCTTTGTAAGTGAGATTACTTCATTCTTTAGGTGTCCAGCATGTATCAAAGAAGCAGAAAGTACCTTATGTGTGGGTGTTCTGGTGGGTAAGACAAGAATTTTCTCAACTGTGATGCCTCACTGATTGTAATAGTCTGCCAAAACTCTCCTTCAAAAATCACACAATGAAGAAAAGTCAACCTATGTGCAGTACCAAAAAGTTGCGTCCACCCCTACAGGAAGGTCCCAGCAATGTCTGGCTCTGTTGGGAAAGGCAACAAGATTTGGATTCAAAAAATAAAATGACTGCACATCAATTTTGTCTTCCTCGGTCTCAAAAATGCACAGTGAACACCACTGGTTTGATATCCTGTGGTTGATCAGCCGTCTAAACCATGTTATCACTAAAGTGCTATTACACCAATTCTGAACTTAATGTCAAAGCTTGTTGAGAGGAAAGGAGGCGTAATGCCAATGGGATGCGGGAGCTTTACAAACTTAAGGCTGTTCCAGTACATTTTCTGACTTGACACATGGATTTTTGTTTTGTTTGTTGGTGGTACATGGGTGTTGCTGACTAAGCCAGCATTTATTGCCAATTCCTCATTGCAGAAGGTGCTGGTGTCCTGATAATAGCCAAGGAACCTTGAGAGAGCCCATTGCCTTTTTGTTCCAACGACTTCTGTGGAGACGAGTCCCTGCACTTTTTCCATTGATAAATTTTTGGCAGTTCCTTTAAAAATGTCACCTCCAACTGTAAACTGGTATTATGGAAAAGAACACATCTGTGTGGACACTGAACAGAAAATGGGTTATGAATAAATTGGTACACATTAAGTTATTACAGAAGCAAAATATTTTATTTTTGTCATCTTTTGGCATTTTTGTAACATACCTTGACACCTTTCTCAGCACACTGCTGTAAAAGATTCTATTAATGTTATTTTTTCAGAAATATTATTTTTTTAGTGTAATGTAATGCTGTATTGTAATAATTTGGAATATGTATTAGAGTAATTGCAGTAACCAAGTCAAATTTTTGCAAAGACGAGATGGTGAAAAGAAATGGATTGACTCCATAGTGAGGTTTTAAAGGCAGGATCTTGTAAATTTGAATCAATATGTTTATTAATAATTATTATTACGGATTTAAACATTTTATATTCTTGTAGAAAACCAGTACAGAAGCTCATTACAGTATTTTCTTTTATTTTAGCTATCTATCCATGGCCCTACTTACATGGAGGTGTTCAGCAATGACTTGTTGGGTTATTGTAATTTTTCTCACCTCTCTGTTTAGCCAGAATTCAACAACTGGATGATTGTTACATTAAGAGAAATTTGGCCCAACATATCAAAGTAAACCTAAAATATATCAGCTTTGAAAATGTTGCCTAAAGCAGAACCTAGTTTTATATGCAGGGAACCATATAGCAGCTTCTGCTGTCATGGGGTCCCAACTTCTGTGGAGACATTTGATGCTAATCTTTTTTATGTAGCAAAAAAAAGTAAATGGTATTTTTGATTTAATTTGGGAAATATGTGCTTTAGGCAGAGTGATTTATTTCAGGTGGAACGATAAATTATGAGTTTCACACATTCATGTAAATAAGGCCATAGTTTGCATTAATCAAATGAATGTAGGAGCGTACCAAACCTGAAATAGAATTATTTTGTTTACAATTTTCACTTGGCTGTGCTTGCCACAAAATTGTGAAATTTTGAAAAAAAAGAATAATATAAAGAGTCAATAAATCATTATAATTTAGTAGCTGTCTCCTAGTGAAATCTCAGATTATATGTGCTGGCTGCAATTGGGAGGCCTTAAAATGAAGCATATACTGCCACCTTGGGACAGAATGTAGCAATTATAGCAAACACCAGACTTGGCTGTTTTTTCACATTATACTACACTGATTTTCATAAAAATTCATTTAATTACAAATATTGTTATCTGTACTAAACAATATTATCATGTTACTAAAAATTTCATTACCTTGAAAAGAAATCTGTTGAAAAAAGTAAATGCCTAATATACATCACTTCTCCGTAGTTAGACATATAGTGTCCTTGGTACTCAGCATCATGTGTTTTTAGCAGCAGCTAGTGAAGCCTACTCTACCATTCTACCATAACTGATTGTCCATTACAGTGCCCTTTTCCTACACTATTCCCATATTCCTTTATGTCATTGGTATTTAGAAATCTGTCACCTTTAAACATACTAAATGATTGAGTTTGCACAGCCCTCTGGGGTAGACAATTCCAAAGACTCATATTTTTCTAAGGAAAGAAAAAATGCATCTCATCTTTTTCCTGAACAGCATCTCCCTTACTTTTAAGTTGCCCCTTCCCTGGTTATAAATCCCGACCCAGGTGAAACATTCACC